GCTTAGGAGCTCTCACTTAGCCTATCAGGACAGATGGGGCTGCACAGAGGCCTTTTCCTTCACTGTAATTTCATGTTTTTATAAAGCTCTCCAAGAAGAGTTTGATTGCTTGCTGCCTTTCGCTTCTGTTCCTGGTGGTGCAAGGTGGCCTTGCCCTGTAGCAGATTAGGTGTGAGCTCAGCGAAATCGTCTGACACATGGATTTGTCACTATGCTACATTCTATATCCATGGTCCCCCACCTCCAAGCCCTTTCTGCTGAGTTTGTGGTTCCCTGCTGTTCTGTATAGGTCAAGTGATGGGAACATTAATACTGACTTTTATTTCTGGATGACAAGAGAGTGAGACCAGGCCGATAGCGAGCTTGGCTTGTTGGCCCCTTTTTCATTTCTGTTGATCACTGTTGGACAGTGTGGCCTTAAAGCCCCATTTCAGTCCAAGCCTACCGCCAGAAAAGTAAGCCTCTGGGGTTTGTGCCCTAGACAACCTTATCGGCCTCTTTTCCCAGAAGCTGGTCTTCCTTGTGGTTGAGTCTGTTAAGCTGTGGCCCGCTCTTCCATTTTCTTGGCAGAGATCCTGGAGCAGTCTGCCATTTCCTTCTCCGGCTCAGTTTACAGATGAGGAAACTGAGGCAAACAGGGTGACGTGACTTGCTCAGGGTCACACAGCTCGTACTCATCTGACAAGCGTCTTCCTAACTCCGGGCTGGGTGCTTCTCTGTTCACTGCCCCTTGCCCTTCCCTGATCCCTTCCCTTCATCTCTGCTATTATCCTCCCTCCTCCCACCTTAGCACTCATTTGCAACCCTTCCTATCCAACAAACAATCAGCAACCTACTGTAGGCAAAGTACACGAATAAGTCTATGAATAGACGCACTTATTTAGTGCTTACTGTGTACAGAACACCGAGCTAAGTGCAGTCCCTGTTCTCAAGAAGTTTCCGTTCTAATGGTGGAGTGCGCCCGAGTGGAAAGTCTCAGCTGCCAACAGACGGAAAGGAAAGGGTGCAGCACCCGCTGCTGACACTGCTCGTCTTTCAAAAGGACGGGTGAACAGCGCCTTCTCTTTCATGTCATCTCCACTGATAAAATCCGGCCAGCTTCTGCTGTTCAGCCCTTTGACAGCGCCGAGCATTTCAGCGGTAAGAACTGACAGAAATAATAACCCTCGAGAAGTTTGCGCTCTACAGGCACCGACCTTCTGAGAGGCAGGCGGGGGCGCAGTAGGAGGACCGACTGCTCCTGGAAACAAATCTCTGAACCCCCGTGCCCTCACTTGTAAACTGGATGACGAAGCCCCTAACACGTTACCCACTGGATCTCTGCAGGGCACCGCGGCAGACCTGGAAGGGCCGTCTAAACTTGGCTTATTGTAGTTGCGCGCGGTTTGCTGCCCTCCGGGGGGCGAGGGCCGCGCTTTACATCACCTAGCTCCCCCAGCTCAGCGCGCAGCCGGCAGCAGCGTTTGTTACACGATGGATGAAAGACTGTCCTGCGGCCCAAGGACTTCTTAGAGGGGTGCTCTCCCTCCTCCTTCACCTCCCCAGCCCCGTGAAAGGTCTCCCCGCGAGCCCTTTGTTCTCATTCCCAGACACGATCGCCTGACCTCGTGACCTGGGGGGAGGGGGAGGAATCACCGTGCCCAAGACCCTCCCCCTGTAACTGGGCCTTAATGCACCAAAGCACCGGCCAGGGGCCGCCCAGAGGGGCTCACTAGGGCCCTCGGGGTCTTCTGGTCCAACCCCCTCCTTGGACGCATGGGGGACGAAAGCCCAGAGCGGCTCCAGGTTTGCTCTACCGGGGTGGGCGGTGGAGAGCACGGTCCCGGCCCAGGAGCCCCTAGGCGGAGAGGCCCGGGATCGTCTTCCCCCGGCACCCCAGGAGAGGCTCGATCCGGGCTCGCGGGCTCAGAACGCCGCCGGGCCTGGGGAACGCGGGACGGCGACAGAGCAAGTTCTAGGCGCCCGGCAGGCTCCACGTGATCGTAAAGGGGCTCCCCACCCCCCAGCGGATGCGGGCGGGGGAGGACTTTCCGCTGCGGCAGCTGGGGACGCCGGCGTGACGGCGATGACGACACACGCCGCAGGCGGCCCCAGCCCCGGCCGGCGCCACCCAGCCCCCTGCGCCGCGGCAGTCACGTGGCGGGCCGGGCCGCGCCTGCGCCTGCGCCTGCGCCTGCGCCTCGGGGAAGAGGCGGCGGCGGAGCCGGAGCGGTGTGCGGGAGCCGGAAATGGTCGTGGACGGCGCCTGTGCGGCTGCGTGGGGCTCGGCCGCGCGGACTGAAGGAGACTGAAGGTAACGGCGCCATGTCCGGGCCCGAGCCGGGCCCCCTCCCCCCGGCATCCGCCGCCATCCGGGCCGGGGCCGCCCGCCCGACTCCGCCGCCGCCGGGCCAGGCCCGGCCCGGCCCCGC